TCTTGCGATAAAACTGAGGGCTTTGGTTGGTCTTTAGCAGGCCGCTCTTCAGTCGCCTTCTGCTGGCATATGCGCCTGCGTTTGGCCCTACTGGACTCGTGGTTTCCTGGTTTATCAACCACTTACCTGTCCTCTGCATGCTCCGCATCCGGTGGTGTTATCGTATTGTGCTTTATGAGCACTGCTATTATCTCCGAGTAGAATTCGAGGCTTCCCTCTAAACGCATTACCCGCGTGATTAGGTCAAGACATCCATCACAGTGTGCACGCGCAGGCTTATTTGGCTGGGTGGTGTTCGGTTCTAAGACAGTTGGTGAAAGAAGATGCGTTTTTGCATAGTGGATGGTCTGAGATTTGGTACGCGTTATTTAAAGCGCTTCGGCTATTCCTGGGAGTACCTTGTCAAAGGTTGTAAGAGGCGGCTTACATAAGTTAGCCTGATTACATCCTTTAGAGTATACATTAGCGTATATTAGAGTATATTAGCGACTTAGCCTACAGGGTGTGAACTCGTGGTGAAGTCAGTTGAGCATCAAACTTTTTGGAATGAGGTCCGGGGTTCAAATCCAGCCGTCGACGAACATTTTTCTTCCATCTAGCAGAGGTGGATCGTGCACGTTAGCGTTACCCACGCTGTTGGAAACTATATTAGAGTGCATTAATTCAAAGTCTGCAATCAACCGGCCGTACTAATATAGATAGCAAAAAGATTTGCTTGTTCGATTAATTTCAACAGTCAGAATTTTTAATGTTAACGACTCAGCCTTTGTTGTAAGGAGTTCTTTGCACTCTAGCAATCAGAGTCAGAAGCAGCGATGTTGCTTTTAGGAGCGAGTGAACTTCTAGACTTGTGCTGATCGCGGAGATAACTTCCAGAGCGTGGTATAATCCGCGGTCCACTTATATTGTGAAAGCGAAGGATTCGTCTCACTCAGAAAAGATATTTCCAAAGGACAGATAATACGCAGCTCCTTTGTCAGTTTTTTCCAGCTAGATGTGTCTTCTACACGAAGGTAGAGACTAAAAACCTCGTAAGCGCAAAGAGCTTAAATTCGAAACCAATGAATTCGAAACCAATGAAGGAGCTTAGCAAATGAAAAGGTTACGTCTAAAATTCATATTCGTATTACTTACGGAATTCATAACTGCAGGCTGTGTGCTGCTATTTTCCGTCCAATCGTCGAGTCTTTTGGCCCGTCACTGCAATTACACGATACAAATAATTGTAAATATCTAATTTTTGCCTCATAGGAAGGTCAGATTTGTGAATCTTTGGTAAACTTTACAAATATTACGGGGCGTGTGCTGATGGGCTTCAGAAATTCAAATTCATGGTGTAGGCCCTTCGCCTCACCTTGTATCCTGTACGTTTTTGTTTAAATTAACACGATTAT